TGTAGAGCCCTGGTTTTAGCTGGATTCGAATCCTGTGGTGAATCCTAAAGGGATTTTTCCAGTTTAGCCAGGAGCCCCCCAAAGGGCCCAAGGCTGAGGTCATTAACCACTCTGCTTGTCCTGGGTGGGCATGCTGGCCGGGGCTTGGTACCGTTAGTGGGAAGAAGACACTTTGTGGAAGAAAGGTTGGGCTAGAACTGGACCTTTTGTTGAGGACTTTAAAAACGCACACGTACATTGTTAAGATTAGCTGTTTCATGGTTAATTTTCTTTCAACTTGGCTGGGCCAGGTGCCCAGACGTGTGTTCGAACATTATTCCGGATGAGATAGGTGAGTGGGTGCTGTGGTCTGAGGGTGTAGATTCCCTCACCACATTTATTTATGTTGAGGTCCTAACCCCACGATAAAGGAGTGAGGTGGTGAGGTCTTTGGAGCTGACTCAAAAATGAGATAACTGCCCGAATCAAAGGCACCAGCGAGCATCCTGCCTCTTCCACCATGAGAGGACCCACAAAAAGGGCTTGTACCTGACTGCTGGCGCCCCGACCCCCCACTTCCAGCCCCCAGCGCCCCGTGTGTGGTGGTGTTCTAGCAGCCTGATGGGACCGAGACTGCCCCGTCCAAGCCACTGAAGGAACCAAGGCTGACCTGGGAGTTCCGCACACCACCTGTGTGCTCCAATTTGGTGTTCTTGGAATAAATTCCCTGTCTGCTCCAATTTGGTGTTCTTGGAATAAATTCCCTGTCATGATTCCGAGGGGAGGATCCAAATGCTCCCCTAAGGCCCCTGGAGATGAAGCCTTTTTCCCTCTTCCTGTCCCTCCTTTTCCTTTCATTTAGGAGCTCTTTACTAGATTATTAACTAAACAATAGGATTTTTTTTGGAAACTTTCCTGCTTTAGCAAGTACTTGCTCTTGATATCTTCCTGGTTTGTCACAAAAACATTTCTCCCGAGTGTCTCCTGGAGGGTCTCTGGAACACTTCCCTAACCCAGGCATGTCGCCAGCACAGGCATGATGCTAACATTGTCGCCAACACAGGCATGATAAAAGGGGGAAATATTCTGATCTTTTTTTTGTGGGTGGTAGAATTAGACAGGAAGCAGTCCTTATTTGGGAAAATATTTTGATAAGCCAAAGGCTCGGCCCGAGAGCTTCTGGTGTTTCTGTATGCCACGCACTCAAGGTGCAGACAGCTCTGCCTGAGGTCAAAAGGGATTCTGGCCTCTGAGGAGGAGGAGAAGAAATTCAGGGAAGCCAGGGAAAGAGTAGGAAAAGTAGGAGAGGGAGAATATATATTTATTAGAAAAAAAAAAATATATATATATAGTCCTGATAGAATTGATATGTATGTATAAATATATGTATCTAACAGGAATACATATATTCCTTTAGAAAGAATTTATATGTAGTCCTTTGGTTTTGTTTCTCTGGAGAGCCCAGGGCCTCGGCTACAGACATCTTCATTGATCAATGTGAACCTTCTCTCGGCAGTGGACAGGAGGACACCACTCTTCGGCTCTGAGGCAGGTCCTAGCAAGACTTGCAATGAAACCAAGGGGACATGTGGAAACCGGTTTGGCTCAGTGGTAGAGCGTCAGTCTGCGGACTGAAAGGTCCCAGGTTCAATTCTGGTCAAGGGCAGGTACATTGGTTGCGGGCACATCCCTGGTAGGGGGTGTGCAAGAGGCAGCTGGTCGATGTTTCTCTCTCATTGATGTTTCTAGCTCTCTATCTCTCTCCCTTCCTCTCTGTAAAAAATCAATAAAATATATTAAAGAAAGAAAGAAACCAAGGGGACAGCAGCCCCAGAAACACAAGGGATGAGGAGACAGGAGCATCCAGGCACAGATAAGACTTTCCTGGGGGCCAAGCTCTGGATCCAAGCTTGTGACAGCAACAGAGAGTGGCCATGGCTGAGCCCAGGAGGGCCGACTCCAGGCTGTTCCGCTCCAGTGACTGAGGTCACAGGGTCCAACCTAACTCCTGTCCACATACCATCAGGGCACTGCCAAGAAGGCCCAGAGCCACTCGGAACAGCTTGATGCTCTCAGCTCGCTCAGACACCTGGAGACCCCCCTCTGGCTATTTAAACCCATCCACAGAGCCTCCTCCTGAGTTTGGCCGAAAGTGACCCCTTCTGGCTTCCCACCTACACCCAGAGCTTCAAGTCCCTGGCGTGAATACAACTCCTACTGGGTCCCAGGTCTGCCCAGATGTTCCTCCAGGCCGACTCTCTCCCCACACCCCCCACGGTGGTCTTTCCCCTATTGGTCTCAAAACCAATCCACCCACACATTAGCTCGGCTGCTTTCTGAGGAATAGCTTATGATACCCCACTTCACAAGGGAAAATGCAGGCACAGAGGGTCATGTGACTTTCTGAGGTCACAGCTCCTGAATTGCAGAGCTGGGAGAGGAAGCCAGCATGCACTTCCCAGGTGGAGTGTCCTGGTCCCATTCCTGGGGGTGCCCCTCCCTCCATGGCCCAGTCCCCCTTTGATGTCCTTCCAGCCCAGCTGCACTCCTGTGCTCCTGGCCTTCTGGGTGTGGGGCTGCCCAGGAAGCAGAGCTCCGCACCTCCCTCACCAGCCTCAGCTCCTGCCAGCTCTGCCTTGTGGGCGCCTAAGCCTTGGGGCAGTGCCCAGGCTGCAATGGGTACACTTTCCCTTCTTAGCTCCACGGGGGGGGGGGTGTCTCTCTTCCCCAAGGCCCGCTCCCTTTCAACAGCCCCAGAGATTGTATATGAGGTCCATCGCTTCCAGCTCAGCATCCCTGAGGGCGAAGTAGGAATTTTTGTGGGACCGGGAGCGGGAGGCGAAGCCACAGCCTGTCCGTGAAGCCCAGCCAATCGGAAAGCTTCCCGGGTTTGAGGGCGGGGCGGATAGCGGCCAGGTCGGGGAGGGTAGGCGCAGCCAGCCCCGCCCTCCTGCCCCACCTGTGGGAAAACTTGAGGCTGGCCCTCCCTAAACTCTGTCTTCCTCTGCCAGCTGCTGCTAACCCATGGGGAGAGAACCAAGGCCACAGAGATCAGGTCCCCTCCAGCTCCCCGTCCCTCGCCCCCGCCTGCATTTGTTCCAGCTGCGGTCCTGGACAGATCGGTTCTCTGGCTCCAGGAATGGGGTGAGTCCGATACTCACACCCCCCACCCCCGCCATCGGATGTGTGGCCACGCCCTGCGCTCCAAGCCAAATCTTATATCTTATATCCTCCCCTCCCCCAGTTCAGATGGTATCTGCCCTTCCTGCCCCCCCCCCCCATCTCCACCGCTAAGAGGCGGGGTGGCCCCCCTTGGTCTCTTTAAATCCTCCACACCAATCTCCCAGCCTCACCCGGTCGGGGGGGAGGGGGGGAAACCCAGGTTTGAGAACTGCCAGCCTACTCCCTCCTGGCAGCCAGCCCTTTCGTCCAGGCCCGGTCCCACCTCCCAGCAATTGTGCCCGGAATCTTGGTTGATGAGTGACTACGTGCAGAAGCTTGGCTCTGCCCTCACCTTACCCCTGGCCTCTCCTACCCGCCCCTCCCCCCAAGTGGGCCTTTGCCTCTGAAGCAGCCTGGGAGGCCAGATACACCCGTCCGGCCTGCTCCCAGACCTGAGCTGGGTGCCTTGGATCCCAGGCCCTTCCTGGGGGGCTCTGCAGGGAGGGCACCCTGTTCCCTCGTGGTCCCACCTCCCTCACTTCAGTGGCACCTGGCCCATGAGGGTGGGAGTGGGGGGCACTGGCCCAGGGGCCCCAGAGGGCTGGGTGGGGAATGGAGCAAATACCCAGAGGGCCGGGTCTCACCCACGTGGGGGAGCAAAGATGACATGGTTTCCACGCGGGGCCTCCCAGAGCCTTCAATGCCCAAGCAGGTTGTGGCACGTGGCCCAGGAGGCACGCAGGGTCGGAGAGCAAACCTGGGGGCAGGGGTACACCCAGGGCCGGACTGGACAGTAGAGCCTGCGGCCTTCCATCCATCCATCATCCATCTATCCTTCCTTCCTTCCATCCTTCCTTCCTTCCATCCATCCATCCATCCATCCATCCATCCATCTTTCCATCCTTCCTTCTATCCAACCATCCATCCTTCCATCCATCCATCCTTCCATCCATCCATCCATCCATCATCCATCTATCCTTCCATCCTTCCTTCCTTCCATCCATCCATCCTTCCTTCCTTCCTTCCATCCATCCTTCCATCCATCCATCCTTCCATCCATCCATCCATCCATCATCCATCTATCCTTCCATCCTTCCTTCCTTCCATCCATCCATCCTTCCTTCCTTCCTTCCATCCATCCATCCATCCATCCATCCTTCCATCTTTCCTTCTATCCAACCATCCAACCATCCAACCTACCTTCCTCCCTCCCTTCCTTCCTTCCTTCCTTCCTTCCTTCCTTCCTTCCTTCCTTCCTTCCTTCCTTCCTTCCATCCATCCATCCATCCATCCCAGATGTGGAGCTCACTTCACCTGAGAGCTGCAGGTACTGATGGAGAGAGGGTGGGAGGGAGGGAGAGAAGGAGGGAGAGAAGGAGGGGGCCTGGGGCAGGGACCCTGGGCCGAAGGGACGGTCTGCGCGACTCTGGGGGGCAGCACTTAGCCTTCCAAGGCCCTTCCGCACGGGCAAGCCCTTCCCCAGCGCCCACGGCCGCCCCTGGTGCCACACTCCCCCCACCTTCCCGGGCACCTGTGGCACCACATCCGTGCCTGGCTCCCGCCCGCGGGCCACCTGAACCGCCTGGAGCCTGGTGGCCCAGCTTCCGTTCCGGGGAGCTCCGCCTAAGGCGGGGTGCGGGGCGGGGCCGTGGGCGGGGCCGTGGGCGGGGGGCGGGGTCATGGGCGGGGCGGGGCGGGCCGGGCCCCAGTCCGCTGCCCGGTTTCTCAGAAGCTGGTGTCCTGGCGGCGGGCGCGCAGCGCAGTGAGAGCTCGGCTCAGCGGAGGCGGCGCGAGGTCCCTGCGCCCCGAGGTCTCCCGCGCCCCGAGGTCTCCCGCGCCCCGAGGTCTCCGCCTCCACCATGAAGCTCAGAAGGTGAGCGGCCAGCGCCGGGCCCCGGGGAGCCGGGGAAGAAGCGGGGGCGCCGCCGGAGAGAGCTGGTGCCCAGGAGGGACGACCGGGGCGCCCGGCCGGGACGCGCTCACCGGGCGGCCGAGCGGCGGGTCCGCGCGAAGGGAGGGCGGCCCGGAGCTGGCGGCCGCGGGCAGGGCGGCCCCGGGCAGGTCCGGGGGTGCGGTTACCTGCTAGTCCGTGGCAGCCGCCAAACGGTGGCGTGGGGCCGACGGCAGTGCGTGGGGATCGAGGGCAGTGCGTGGGGTCGGAGGACAGTGTGTGGGGACCCACGCTGTGTGTGGGTGTGTGGGCGTGTGGGTGTGCTAGGAGGCGGGTCCTGGGAAGGGAAGGAAAAGTGCTCATCCCCCCCACACACACACACACATACCTCCCTCACTCCTTCTCCCTCCCCTCCTGGCCCGGAGGACTGTCAGGGCTGGAGAATGAAGGATGTGATACCTCAAGGCCGCCCGGTGCCGCCCTGACTGCCACAGCCCAGGGATTCCCCTCCCCTATGGGCAGAGCCAGGCCGGGAAGGTGGGCCTGCTGGGCCCAACCCATCACCCAGGTCTCCTGCCCATCACCCCAGCTCTCCTCCTGCCCCGGGGTGGGCAGCTTTGCCAAACACCACCGTCAGGGCGTGTCCAGGCTTTGACTCCCTGGATCCACTGGTGAGGCACCTGGTGCCCAGGTTTCCAGCCGCACAGCCCATACCGGAGGGTCCCGCAGCCCAGCCTGCCCACTCAGACATGTGGGAAGTTCTACGGTGTTCTGTTTGCTCAAAAGAGAAAAAAAAAAAATGTGCTGGACCGTCACAGGCGCCAGCGGCCTTCACCTGGGAACGGTGCCCCTGTCTGTCTGACTCAAGGAGGGCGGGCTGGAGGCGGAGGCAGGGTGGTGACTGGGTGCGGGAAGGGAGGGGCCGTGTACTGTCTGACAGCAGGGACCAGAGGACCATCAGGGAGAGATACAGAGAGCCCCGCATGCAGGCAGCACCCAGGACAGGGCTCTCTGTATCCCCAGAAGAGGCTCTGTAGGGGCCCTGACAGGTGCACGCGTGTGCCTTGGACCCTGTGCACAGACAGGGCGAGCCTCCTGAGCACCCATAGGCGGGCTCCATGGGAGAGAAATGGGGGCCACAGAGGCGTCTGTGTAGCTTTGTATTTTATTTTTTTTATTTTTTATTTATTTATTTTTAAAATATATTTTATTGATTTTTCACAGAGAGGAAGGGAGAGTGATAGCTAGAAACGTCAATGAGAGCGAAACATCAACCAGCTGCCTCCTGCACGCCCCCTACTGGGGATGTGCCTGCAACCAAAGTACATGCCCTTGACCGGAATCGAACCTGGGACCTTTCAGTCCGCAGACCGAAGCTCTACCACTGAGCCAAACCGGTTTTGGCAAGCTTTGTATTTTAGAAGGCTGCTCTGGCTCAGGGGAAGATGGCAGGAGGGGTCAAGACTGGAGGTGGTCATCACCGCTCTCCCCACAGACGGGAATGGCGCCCCCAACAGGGACAGTGAGAGAGGACAGCCCCACCTGCAGGCTGTGGCCTCCGTGGGGTATGGGGAGCCCATGGTGGCAAGGGTCATGCCTTTAGACCAGTGGTTCTCCACCTTTCCTTTTTTTCTTTTTAATATATTTTATTGATTTTTTACAGAGAGGAAGAGAGAGGGATAGAGAGTTAGAAACATCGATAAGAGAAACATCTATCAGCTGCCCCCTGCACACCCCCTGCCGGGGATGTGCCCGCAACCAAAGTACATGCTCTTGACCGGAATCGAACCTGGGACCCTTCAGTCCACAGGTTGAAGCTCTATCCACTGAGCCAAACCGGTTTTGGCATGTTCTCCACCTTTCGAATGCCACGACCCTTTTAATACAGTTCCTCGTGTTGTGGTGACCCCCAACATAAAATTATGTTCGGTGCTACTTCACAACTGTAATTTTGCTACTGCAAATGAATCGTAATGTAACTATCTGTTTTTTTCCGATGGTCTTAGGTGACCCTGTTAGTGGTTCTCAACCTCTGGGTTAGATTAGGACCCTTAGGTCTTAACAGAGCCTAAGACCCTGCTAGCGGTGACCCTGCTAGCGGTAGAGCCTAAGACCATCGGAAAACACAGATATTTACATTACGATTCATTAACAGTAACACAGTTACAGTTATGAGGTAGCAACGAAAGTCATCTCATGGTTGGGGGTCACCACCACATGGGGAACTGTATTAAAGGGCCACGGCATTAGGAAGGTGGAGAACCACTGGTCTAGACAGAGTCAGGTGACAGGGGTCTCTGCCCAGAGCTCAGGGCACACAGCATCCTGGGAGGCGGTAGGAGCGGGTGGCTGGGTTGAGGGCACCAGGAACCTGGAAGTTGGGAAGTTCTCACCCCCGCAGCCCAGCTGCCCACCGGCCGGAGGAGCCTCCCAATTGGTTTCAGAATGAGTTCCTTCCTCAGAGGGCTGTCCTGCCGCTCCCCCAGGGCCACTGGGCATCTCAGACCTGCTCTTTCTCCCCCAAATTAAACGCAGCTCCTGCCATGGGCACTGTGGACGTTTTTTTGTTGTTGTTGTTTGTTTGTTTGTTTGTTTTTTCCTGATTCCATACAGTTTCTTGGAATCTGTTCCTCTATGGCTGGGCCACCAGGGTGTCCAAAGCTATGCCTGAGAGTGTCTCTCACTTATCGCACGTTCATCCTTGTGTTGGGGGGTTAACACGGGAGCTTGCGGGGATGCCGGCCCCTTGGGACTTGCTGTGCTGGGCAGGGGGGTGGGCGCCCCCTGCTGCAGGGGCCTGGCTGACGGGCTGGCTGTCCGTGGACGCGTTCACTTTTCCGCGATGGGTGTGACCCGCTCCTGCCCGTGAGAAGGAGCCCTCGCCTCTGGAAGAAGGGGGACTCACTGCCTTTCTGGTTCCTTTCCAGTGCTGGCCTGTTCCTCCTGCTGCTCAGCGGCCTGCAAGCCGGTGAGTCCAACAGCCCCCCTGGTCCAAAGGCCAGTTCCTGGCACTTCAGTGTGGAGCGGGGGACCCCGAGGCGCAGGGGTCAGCGGGGGCCCTGCCACAGCCCTTCTTGTCTTTCCAGGATCTCCTGGGAGGTCGCCGGGCCCCCAGCGTGTGGGATGGAAAGCCACCAAGGGGTCGCTCTTGTGTTATCGTGTGTTCACTGGGTGTAGATGGAACGCACTTCCTCCCGCACGCTTCGGGCCTCTGCTTTCCTGATGAGCTGGGAGCAAGGAACAGGGATGTGCCCAGCTCAGAGTGAGGGAGGGCAGAGCTCAGCCACTGTCCTGTAGCCCTCCATGTGTCTGTATGGACGGGAGATCCAGTCTGCACACGTCACGTGGCCTGCCTTGGCACACAGTGCATTATAAGTCTGTTGTTGAGAAGCTGATGTTTTCTATTAAATGTCTAAATTTTTACAAAACCCTTTTCAGTGGAATGAATTATAAACTCCCAAGAAGGAGCAGACAGCATGCAGCCTGGTCCCAGGGGCCACCCCTAGTTGTCCCAACACTGGCCTCTCCCATCCTGACAGGAAGTCCACTTGAGACAGCACATCCAATTCCGGAATTCTAAATTATTGCATTCCCGTGTGTATCTTATGAATACGTTCCTTTTCTACTGAGATGAGTCAGAATTGGTGTTTGAGAGAGTTTCCTCCTCCCTCCCCCTCCCATCCCTCAGAGTAACTTCGCAGGTTGAGTAAGACTCAACCTCAAAACATAAATGTACTTTCTGAATCACTGCAGATGGTCAAGAAAAAGAAGTCAGAGCGATGGTGGGCAGTGACGCTGAGCTCAGCTGCATTCACACCGAAGAAAAGAGTTTTGATTTAAACGAACTCTATGTTTATTGGCAAATCACGGATACCAGCGGCAAGATAGAAACCGTGGCTTACTACCTGCCGGGGAACACCTCCGTGGGCCATTACAACAACCGGTACAAGGACCGGGCCCAGATGTCTCTGGACAGCATGAAGCAGGGCAACTTCTCTCTGCATCTGTACAACATCACCCCCCAGGACAAGCAGAAGTATGACTGCCTGGTGTTCAGGAAGATGACAGAGAAGATTCTGGAGGTGAAGGTCATGTTGCACGTGGCAGGTAAGGGCGTCAGGGCTGACAGCTGACTTCATCCCGTTCCCTGGCCTGGAGAGAGCATTAAGAAGACCCGTTTTCTGGCTCCTTCACCTGATTCTTCATGTGGAAAAATCCCAGTCTCAATGAGCAGCCTTCTGCTTAAGTATGCATGACGCTGAGTTGGTTGAAACACAAACTCGTAAGAAAGTTTTCACAACCTGAGGCTCCCTGGTTTCACAGAGATACTTCTAATCTTGCCGTCTCTGCTTTGAATGTGCCAACTCAACTCAAACTAGATTAAAATATATATTGATTTCAGAGAGTTAGAGAGAGGGAGAGAGAGATAGAAACACCAGTGATGAGAGAGGATCATCGATCAGCTGCCTCCCCCACACCATCTACTGGGGTCCGAGCCCCAAACCCGGGCAGGTGCCCCTGACCGAAATCAAACCTGGGACCCTTCAGGCTGATGCTCTACCCACTGAGCCAAACGGGGCAGGACTCAAATTAGATTTTTAAAATGAAATTAGGAAGGAGTGCTATAGGGCAGTTTTAGGTCAGAATTTAGGAAGAAAATGAAAGTCAATCAAGATGCTCAGGGCACGGCCAGTTCAGAGGTGGGCTGTGACGGCAAGCTCTCCGTGTCACTGGATGCCAATGACCGGCCTCTTTGGGGCAGGGAATGGGGGACGGTCCCTGTCCTCGGGCTCAGTGACTCCCCTATCGGAGTCGGAGGAGTGACTCTTGGGCAGAGCAGGGCCAGTGCCCGTCGCCCAGACCAGAGCCCTGATCCCGTCTCTCTCCCAGGGTCAGGGGCATGACGGCCCGCCTCCCCTCTCACCTGGCCCTGGGCCCCTGAGCGCTGGGTCCCCCTCCATGTCTGACCTCCCGAACCTGGCCCCCCTGGCCTCCGTTTCTCCCCCTGCAGCCAACTACAGCATGCCCGTGGTCAGCGCGCCCACGGCCGCCCCCCAGGACGAGGAACTCACCTTCACCTGCACGTCCACCGACGGCTACCCCCGGCCCAACGTGTACTGGATCAACAGGACGGACAACAGCCTGCTGGACGAGGGCCTGCAGAACAGCACCGTCTCCCTCAACGCGCGGGGCCTGTACGACGTGGTGAGCGTCCTGACCATCCGGCGCACGCCCCACGTCAACGTGGGCTGCTGCATCGAGAACGTGCTGCTGCACCAGAACCTGACCGTCAGCAGCCAGAAGGCGAGCGGTAAGGACCCGCAGGCCTGCCCCCGCCACGGTCTGGGCCCGGGGAGCTGGGAGATCCTCTCAGAGGACGAAGCCCCTCCGAGGGGACCCGCAGCAGCATCGGAAGGAGAGGTGGTTGGAAGGGAGAGGAGGGGAGAGTCAGGTGCGCGGTGACGGCATCACCACGTGAGTGGCCATCGGCCCGGGGCTGGGTGCTCCATGCACCCTGCTTGGCTCCATCTTCAGTCAGGGGGCCGGTGTGGCGACCCATTTCGCAGGGGAGGGACTGAGGCTCTGAGCGGCTGTGCCACAGATCAGAAGCACCAGAGCTAGGCAGCAACGGCGTCAGGATTGAGGCGCACACCTCTGCTGCCTCCACCAAGCTTTTTGCTTTTGGGTGTGTTTCCCCTGAGAAGACTGCCCCCCTCCCCCCGTCTCCCTCCCATGCTAGGGGTCCAGCTGGGCCTGTGCTGGCCTGAGGCCTCCCGAGGAAGGGGCACAGACAGGTGACTCCTTCGCAGAGGCCACGGGCTCTCTCCAGCTGTGTCCGTGTCTCAGTGCTGAGAGGAGAGGTGGAGGCGAGGTGTGCCTGTGGGCCTTGCCGCTGCAGGACCTGGGGGCTCGGTGCACAGTGGAAAACACGGGACTTACAAGAATCGCGAAGGGGACACAGCACTGCCCCCAGCACAGGGCCTCTGGCGCAGCCCCAGGAGCTTGCAGGGGTCACAGGCCTTGACCCTGGCCCTGACCTACTGTGGGGCGAAGCGTGTCCCCCTGACTTTCTTCCTTCTGTGCTTGAGTTCCTTTCTCTGTTTTCTTGAGGTCTTCTTCTTCTCATCTCGGCCATGTCTTGTTAGACTGTGTTTGGGTTCCTTTTTCTGTGCGTCATCCAGGGAATCAAATCATGCTAAAGTCAGTGTCTTGCACCAAAGGAGGTTCTGAATCCAGACACAAACATGGCATCAGGCGTGGTCTTGTACATGTTGGCTAGTTTCCCCCGAATTTCTGCCTTGGGTACTGCTGCCTTCCCAGGGGGAGGGACATCCATGACCGTTTGATTCCGCTGAAGGGGTCTGTCGGCCGTGAACTCCCTTGTCCGGATGGTTCCCGGGTCGTTCATGATGAAGGTTGATCTTCAAGCAGCCAGGGAGGAAAAGAGCCATTTTGGATTTTATTTTTAAAGACAGCAATAAAGCTAGACAAAGGGCAGGTGGGGCGGAGAGGCTCCTGGGAGAGAAAGCCCTTCCCTGAAGCCTCGGACTAACTTCCTCCTGTTTCTTGCAGAGCCATTCCCGGGAACCACAGGGAGCAACACCGACGTGCCAGGCGAGGCTGAGGCGGGGAGATCCAGCACCGTGGTGGCCGCCATCGCGCTGCTGCTGACGGTGGTCGTGGGCGCGGCTGCAGGCTGGTGGTGTCGGAGCCGGTGTCCTCACCGTCCTCCCCGGGGCTACGCAGGTACCAGGCGGGGCGCGCGTGCGGCCGGTGGGCGTTGTTTACGTGGTGGGAAGCGGTGTTTGGCCTTTCTCAAGATGTTTACAAACTCTGCAAGGAGGTGGTTTCCTTGTAAGTGCAGTGTTAGCGGCGTTAGCATCCTGAGCGAGCACATACCCACGGGGATGTGGAGCCCGTGTCTGAGGCCCCACGTGCCTGACGCGTCTCCCAGGTTAGGGGTGGGGGAGAGGTTGGACTCCGAATCCAGAGGTCCGGATGGAGTTCATTTCTGCGGGAGCCGAGCTGCCCGCCTGCCAGGCTGCACAGGGCACCCCGAGTCCAGGCCCAGAGCCTCTCAATGTGCTTCCCACGCCCCCTCCCCAGAGTGTCTGCCCTGGGCGGGGGTGGCCCTGGGAGTCTGTCCTCGGCCCAAGCCCTTGAGCCACGGGGGTCTCCAGACCGGCCCCTCCCCACCCTCCATGGCCTGCCCTGAGCACTCCTGCTTTGTTCCCACAGGTCCCCGGGCTGCGAGGCCAGAGCTGGGGTTCACCGGTGAGTTTGCCAGGGGCTGGGGAGAAAGCGGGCAGGTTCCGTGGGCCCGGCAGGTGGGGCAGCCGCTTCCTCTACGTTCCCCACGTGGCACGAGCGTTACCTGGTGACCCGGACGTGCACAGGGGCCTCTGTTTTCAGAGACACGGAACCCCCGGCGAGGGCACATTCCACTGGCCCTGCCCCACACAATGCTGCCCGAGGGGCCGCTAGCTGACAACGGGTTATGGGATTTCTCCCCCCACCCCCTGCACACACATGGCAGGGAGAGCGAGTAGGATGAGGGCCCCGCACCTCCACCCAGCCTCCATGCTCCTCTCTCAACGCCTCTGTGCAGATGCCCCACCCTCCCACCCACCCCTACAGGGTTAAGTGGGTTCAGACTCTGAGCCCTTCCTAATAGAACAGTGAACTGGTGTTTCCCAGGGAACCGAGCACCCCACAGTCCCGGGGACAAAGGTCGACGTGGCTCCCATCCTAATTCGGGGACAATATTCACCCCCAGCCTCGTCCCCAGCAGCAGCCTCGGGCTGTGCGTAGCTTTGCAGTCAGACCAGCCCTGGCTTGACACCATAGGCAGATCCCTGTGCCTGCCTGAGCCCCGTTCCTCTGCCCTGGGGCCTGGGCCTGTCTGAGCCCCGTTCCTCTGCCCTGGGGTCTGGGCCTGTCTGAGCCCTGATCCTCTGCCCGGGGCCTGGGCCACGCCGGGGGCTGTGGCTGCAGGAGGAGCAGGGCCCGCAGGCCGTGGGGATAACTCTGGGACACGTCTCTCAGACAGCGGGGGGCTGCCTGCAGGCGGCGTGCTTCACCTCCCTCTCCTTCTCTTCCTCCCAAGACCACGTCTGACAAGAACTCGCCACCCAGGAGGTGGACAAGGCTTCCGGGAGACGCCACCCGGAGGGACCTCCGAAGGCGGCTGGCCCCCGGCAGGCTGGTGGCCGAGGGGAGCTCGGCCTCGCCCTTCACCAGGAGCTTCACGGACACGCAGCCGCTCTGGCCCGGCGGCCCTTCCCCTGGAGAGACCGCACTTGACCCCACGTGAGCGGGCGCCCAGCCTCGTGGCCAGACACGGCTCCTCCCTGCCGCCAGCCCTTCCCCGTGTCCGTGGGACCAGGGCTCTGAGAGGGACCGGAGGACAGACGCCCGAGTGGACGGAAGAGGGGAGCGCCCCCTCTCCTCCGGAGGGTGTGTGCGGGGCTCCCGTGATGGTCTGTGCATGTGTGTGCGCGTCCCGTGTGCAGGGAACGGTCCACGCGCAGACTCCGGGATTCGCTGTCCTCTGGGCCCCTCACCGGGGAGAAACAGCCGCGGTGTTCGGGTGAGAAGCCACGGTGCCCTCCTGCAAAAGCACAGCCGAGCCCACGGGAAGAAGGAAACTGCAGGCGCCCCCGGCCCGGGCCCGCGGCAGGAGAGCCGTGCTCCAGGGGGATGAGACATGCGGCCGGCGACACGGACGTGTGCCCGCCGGTCCTGGAGAGTGGGGCGCGGCACAAAGAGGGCTCCCCAGTCTCCGGCAGCTGGCAGATCACGGTCACGTCCTCCCAGTGCGGGCTGGGCAGCTCCTGGGGCTGTGGCCGCGGCCTCTCGCCCGGCCGCCCCTGAGGACCTGCAGGGGGTGATGGAGACCCCAACTCTGACACCGGTTCCGGCGAGCCCATGGCCCCCCGGTGATGGGAAGCAGGCAGTGGCCTGGCCCTCCCCGGGCCGTGTCCACGCTGTGGCTGGAGTGAATCTTGCAGTTTGAAGTTTCCGGGACATTCTGTGAAGGCGGCTCCAGGTAACCCTGGTGTGCACACCCCCGGAGACGGGGCCTGGGGTCCGCCCGTGGCCCTGCGGCTCAGAGGGGCCCTGAGCCGGACTTGGAGCGGAAGTGAGGACCGGACTCCGTGGGGAAGCCGAGTTCCATGCTTGTCGCAAGAAATCCTTGGTGTGTCCTTGTGGCAAGAAGCCCTTGTGTGGCTCCTACGTGAGGGCGAAAGGCCCACCAGACTTTTAACAGAAAGCATTAGAACACACGTCATCCCCGAAGCCTGGCCGAAGGGAGGACAAACCGGCATTTGGAGCAAAGCACTGGGTGTGGTGCCCGCCCTCCGTCCAGGCCCGGGAGGCCCGGGGGTGCTGGGACCGGTGTCCCCGAGGATGGGGCAGCCACGGAGGAAAACTGGTTTCCTTCTCGGAGGCGGCGGCAGGGGAGGCCCCCTTAGCCTTCTCCCAGCATCTGTGGCCCTGACCTGGGGCTCCCCAGGCTCCGTGCCCTGATTCCTCATCTCACCACTGGCCCCCCCACAACCCTCAGCCACAGCCCGGCAGCCCCTCCCCGCTGGCCTGGGCCCAGGGAAGGCGGGCTGGCCTTGGGCGCAGCACACGTCCGAGTCCTCCAGGCTCGCACTGTCCACCCCCGACCCCCGTCGCCATGTGCTGCCGGTGCTGTAGGCCGTTGAGTGCCCGAGCTTGACACCTGCTCTCACAGACCCAGGTGGAGAGAAGGCAAGATAAGCTGTGTCGTGGCTTTGGGCAGCTCTGCTGGTCCTCACTGCAGGTCTGGGCCCCTGCCTCACCATCGGCTCTCGCTCTGGGGGTTTCTGTCCCCCCAGGGGACGCTGGGCAAGGTCTGGAGACATTTCAGTTGTCTCACTGGGGGATGGCTACTGGCCTCCGGGGTGTAGAAGGCAGGGGCGCTGCTCCAAGTCCAAAAACACAGACGGTCCATCGCAGAGAAGTGTCCCCCCTGAAGGCCGGTCCGAGGGTGAGTCCCTGCCCTCCAAGGCCACTTTCCAGGGGGTGGGGGAGGCAGGGCAAGGGGAACCCCTGCCTCCCACACTGGAGGGTCCAGGTCAGGGCTGTCAGCCTCCCCCACATCCCAGTCCACACCAGGCCCCCTGCTGCATCCTGACCAGGATGGCCTCCCCTTGGTCTCCAGTATCCCAGATGCCCAGTGGTGAGTCTCCTTGGGGACGGCTAACGCTTTCCTCGAACCCATACTGGTCCTGCTTCATCAGGGAGAAGTGACAAGCTGGGGACTTCTGTGAGGAGGTGGGGGTGGGGCCAGGCAGCTCCCCAGTGTGCAGGGCGACCCTGGTCTGAGGATCCAGTGGTTCTTAATTAAATGCAAATGGAGTGAGTGCTCCCGTCAGAAGACAGGCTGTGGTGAACGGGTAATAAGACAATCTCCTTACACACTGTCTGTGAGAGACTCACTTCAGGTCAAGACACACAGACTAAGAGCAAAGAGACGGAAAAAGATGTGAGAGCGGAAACAAAGAGCCTGGTAGCAATCCTCATGCTGGACAACACAGACTTTGAAACAACGGCTGTCACTAGAGACAGAGACCCAGCAGTTCCACGTCTGGGTATTTGTCCAAGAAGCCAGACCCTAAATAAAAAGCCATAGACAGCCACATGTTCACTGTAGCATTGTTTACAGGAGCCAAGCCGTGGAAGCAACCCAAGTGCCCGTCAATGGATGAATGGACAAAGACGTGCAGGGTGCAGTCCTAGCTGGTTTGGCTCAGTGGATAGAGGGCCGGCCTGCGGACTGAAGGGTCCTGGGTTCGATTCCAGCTCATGCCCAATTGTGGGCTCGATCCCCGTTGGGGGACATGGCAGGAGGCAGCCCATCGATAATTCTCATCATTGATGCTTCTATCTCTCTCTCCCTCTGTGACATTAATAAAAATATATATTTTTAAAAAGACGTGGTGCATTTATACAATAGAATGACTCAGCCACAAAGAAGAATGAAATCTTACCATCTGCAACCACATGCATGGACCTAAAAGGTATCGTGCTGAGTGAGATCAGACAGACCCGGGAAGACAAGTGTTATGTGATTTCACTGACGTGGAGCTAAAAAACAAAATAAACCAGCAGACCAGAAGCAGACTCAGATACAGAGAACATTTTGACAGTTGCCAGATGGGAGGGGGGGGGGTTGAGGGTGGGGAAATAAGGTGCAGGGATTAAGCCGTACAAATCGGTAATTACAGAGCGGTCAGGGACAGTGTAGGGAATATGGTCGATAATCCTGGGACAATTCTGTATGGTGCCAGTTGGGTACGAGACTTATTGGGGTGACCACTTGGTAAGTTACATAAAGGTCTAATCCCTAGGTTGCACGCCTGAAATGAAGATACTACTGCACATCAACTGTAACTGAGAAGTAAAACATTGAAATTTAAAAAGTCATTTTCTGAAAAGAAGGTGGGAGGGGTGTGGCTGCATTGTAGAGGCTTGAACTGGGGGGAGGGGGGGTTTGATGTGCAGAAATCTCAGGGGACAGGCCTGGTCGTGAAGGGGGCAGGTAAGGACTGGTGTGTCCAGACCTCGGAACACGCCTGTTCCTGCCCTGACAGGGGTGTGGTCTGTGGAGGGGGCCCCAGGCTTTGGCAACAACTGGGGAGGCTGGAGGCACCCCTGTCGGAGTGGGCCAGGCCAGGGAGAGGCCCAGGCTGGAGCGTGGCACTGCCATCTCCCAGGGGCGTGGGGTTCTCTGACGCTGCTCAGCTGCCCGGGAACCTGGCGTCGAGCCCGCCCGGACTTCCCGCGCTGCCCTCCGCGCTGAACATGCCGGGCTCTTTGCAGAAAGGAGTCCAGCACCTCACACATCCGGAACGTTCCATCTGTCCCGGGCCCTGCATCAGAGACCCGACTTTGGTTTTTATAACTGATGGGGTTCTCTGCTCATCTCCCAATACACCCTCCAAACCTGAAAAAGAAAAAACTTCCTGTGAGGCTGAGCAGACCCATTTGAGAAGGAAGAGAGTTCATGTCACCATCTACATTTTATTAAAAAATTTTTATTGATTTTTACAGAGAGGAAGGGAGAGGAATAGAGTTTTTCTAGTCGATGAGAGAGTAACATCGATCAGCTGCTCCTGCACACTCCCCACTGGGTATGTGCCTGCAATCAAGGTACATGTCCTTGACGGGAATCAAACCTGGGACCTTTCAGTTCGCAGGCCAACGCTCTATCCACTGAGCCAAACTGGTTAGGGCTCACCATCTAAATGTAACGTGTCCTCAGCGGGGTCAGGCAGGGATGGGATGTTGGAGGGGAAGGACCCGAGCCAGTGGGGTCAGTGTCTGGGGATCAGGGACCGTGGGAGAGCCTTCATTTGTGTTTCAAAGGACTCACAGCTTGGACGGGTTGTTTATAAACGTTACTTCTCGGTGGGACTCATCTAGGAATCCCTTACCCTCTACCATCCATCAAGCACCAAGTAAAAACTAGCGGTAACAGGCAACAATTAAGGACACTGAAAGAATTGTGAATCTGGCCAAAACCAGTTTGGCTCAGTGAATAAAGCGTTGGCCTGCGGATTAAAGGGTCCCGGGTTTGATTCCAGTCAGGGGCATGTACCTTGGTTGTGGGCACGTCTCAGCTGATTGATGATTCTCTCTCATCGATGTTTCTTTTTTATTTTTATTGATTTTTTTATTGATTTTTTTTTTTTTTACAGAGAGGAAGGGAGAGAGTCAGAGAGCTAGAAACATCGATGAGAGAGAAACACTGACCAGCTGCTTCTTACACACCCCCTACCGGGGATGTGCCCGCAACCAACGTACATGCCCTGACTGGAATCGAACCTGGGACCTCTCAGTCCACAGACCGATGCTCTACCACTGAGCCAAACCGGTTTCGGCTCTCACAGATGTTTCTAACTCTCTATCCCTCTCTCTTCCTCTCTGTAAAAAAATCAATAAAATATATATATTTTAAAAATTGTGAATCTGAGGGCAGGTTATTGGTTTTAGACAAGAGACCCATGAACAGAAGGGGCCCCAAGTCAGAGGAAGACCCCACAGCAAGAGAGGACCCCCAGAGGGGGACGCCATATTCAGGAGAC